TTTTCTGGCAGACCTGTCACTGCTTAGTTGTATGCATAAAATTCAAATGGGGCACAATAACTCCATTTATTTTTTGAGATTTGCCTGTTAAAGCATGATTAATATCCAAAATCCTTTTGCATTTTTCACCTGAGTAAGGAAGTGATGTGGAAGCRAGTCAATGGTGATTATCCATGATGAAATAAGTAATTTTGAATAATTTTTTTGTTTCTTTACAAACAGGGAGTACTGTAGTAGCACTGATTTTTGACACCCTGCCAGGGAGAATCCTTGGCATAGGGCTTGTATACATCACAAAAAAGCCCATACTTTGTGAATGAAAAAACAATTTTAATGGAGACAGTAAGAAAAAGAAATCTAATAGCCAATGCAAGTTGCTGTTTTTCAGGATTGGGTACTCAGAATGTTATCTAAAAGCTAGTAAATATTGCAGAAAGAAGTATTTTGCTTTTGATAGATTTTTAGAACAAGGGGAAGGCCAACATTCCAGAAATATTTACGGCTTATCCACATTTGGAAATTCCCCAGAGCTATTCCARAATCATGATCCCACAGATACTTTGAACTAGGACCTCCACAGGGACACTTTGGGAGAATGGTGCTTCTCTCCAATTCCTCTTAATCCATTACTTCTGAACACTACGTAAGTTATATCCAGTAGACTGAGGTGGAATCAGAAGTCCCGATCCTGTGCACACATGACTTGAGATTGAAAATTAATTTAAAATTCTGAGCATTATAATGTCCTTCTGGCAGAGAGTCACTTTTTGATTCAAATTTCTGTCAGAGATTCAAATTTCATGTGGCTGTTATCAATCTTCAGTAGCCACTACATAATTTCAAATTATTCATTTTTATTTTAATAGTGTTGGAGGGGTTTTTATTATGGCAGCTCTAAACTTATTCTTGTGCTCAGAATTTATTCTCTYTGAATGAAAACATCTTGTACACATTTTCTTTTTACCCAGTATTAAAAACTTTKTGCTTAGAATTTCACTCTTTTTTGATGATCCCTCTCAGTATGACACTGTCTAAAGGATTGGCTTTGTCACGCTAATTCAATGCTGCTCTGCCATCTCATGGACTGCTCTCCTAAGACAAAATCACAGGATCACAGAATCATGTAGGTTGGAAAAGACATGAGATCATCGAGCCCAGGCTTTGACAGATGACCTTGTCATCTAAACCACAGCACCAAGTGCCATGTCCAGTCCTTTCTTGAACACCTCCAGGGACGGTTCAAGAACCTTTAGATGCAGCCTTGGACTTGCCTGGAGTACTAAGGAGGGATGAGCAGCCCCATCTTCAATGAACACGGCAGCTCAGGGTGTTGTATCCCAGATCTGTTACTAAAAAATGGCATAGACAATTAGGATTCAAATAATATTATCTTTATTTATAAGGCAGAAKSYCCRTTAGAAGGAATATAATATATCATTKCTAAYGACTTGTAGCATCCTAAGTCTGGGAATGTGTGCACAATATTTTCCTTTCAAATTCTGACAGTGTGCAAATAGATAGACAGAGGACAGAAGTACAAAAGAATAATATAGTGCCATGAATCCATATTTTAACYATCTGAATTATTTAACTGAAAATCCTGGCTATTACAGAGAAAGCTGTGGATCAAAGGAAACAGCATCTGAACAGAAGTCAGACTGTGTAGGATGGAAAGGGACAGGGGAGGCCTAGTCCGAGGGAACAAACAGAGAACAAATAGCAAGAATATGTCATGAATAGATCAGAGAATAAACATCACTGAAAAAGAAAAATATATCCATTGCTTCAATTGTAAAAATAACCAGAACATGATTTTCMAATTTGGAGTTGAAACTGCTTAGCCTCKACCCTTTGCTGTTTCTTTGCTACTGCCAGTTGTGCTTTTATACTCCTTTGGACTGGAAGCTTCCTGAACTTGTAAGTTTTGCAATTCCTTTATGCAGATAAMCAAGCTGGATCTTTCTGCTGAGCTCAGCTAGTACTGAGAAAGTTTATGTGAAAGGTTTTTTTTCATCTGTAAATAAAATACTGTTTGTATTACTCTGTAAGTTTAAAACAGAGGAAAAATAATATAGAATCGCAAGAGCTGCAATCTCAGGTTGAATCCAATGCTTTCATTTGCAGTGATTTAAATATGGAATGTGGTTGTTTCCCTGTGGTAGTTACAGGCTAAACTATATCCTTGAAAGTTTACATCATGGWCTCCCAGCTCTTTGCAAACTTCATTTGCAAGTTTGAGTTTATGCGCAGTTCAGATTTCTACATCACAGAACTGATGTTTTTCACAGCAATCATCACCTGCAGCACAACTTGAAATGAGGTTTTTAGGATTTACCTAAAATCACTCAAGAAGTTACATATTGGGGGGTGGAGTTGGTTGTTTGAGGGTTTTTTTAATAAACCACAGCAATACACAAATAATTTCACATTAGCTACCAATGTAGATTTACAACCACTTAGTTGTTGTGTGGTTACTCCTCAAGGTTAATCTGGGACCCTGATTTTCAAGATTTTCAGATATTCAGAACTTTTCTTGAGGTAATCACGAACATACCACACCTGTTCACCTGAAGTGATTCTGCATAAAAAGTCCCTAAATTAAATTGCTGTTATTCAGTTTTATATCTATCTATACATACATAAAATCCCATGGCAATGTGCTTTATGCAGAGGAGTTTGCCAAGWCATCTTAATGCTGAATTTTTCTCATATTTTTCCTTAAAACAGAGTTGTGACACRTTTTTGCTGTGTCCAACCAGATTTGCTCTTCTGATTTTCAAAACATTTAAGTAATTACTCTTGGAGACAGAAGAAGATGAAAATGAATGAAACAGTAGGTTTTCACTTWAAAATCAGTATTTTCGTGGTCCACAAACAGTATTTTTTCCAAGGCTTTTAGTTAYATAAATAAAATGCTACATATTGCAAAGTCATAAAATAACAATAAAATGATGTGAGATGATAACATCAGTCTTCCATTGTTCRCCAGATATTACTCCAGGGGATAAAATCAATTTGAGATTTCCTGTCTTTTCTATCATTAGAATCACCTCTGTGTTTCCACAAACATACTTCTTTTACCACATTTAAGAGACCAAACAAATAAAGAAGTCTAAATAAACTTTACCTTGTCATTTAAAGAAATTTAGTCATTGAAACAGAAGTTCAGATTTTTGCTGTAAAAGGTATTTAAATGCATTACAAACAATAGGTAGCCATAGAAAAAACATTTTGAGCTTGCTAGGATTTAACAGTTGCAATACCCAAGTAAATGCAATTCATCTATCACACCACAGGCTGWTTGAATAGACAGAAATTTTAAAAACTGCCTTTATTGTATGCTTAAAGATGTGAGAAGTAGTGTTTCCAAACAAATAATATTTGGGTTCTAATTAATAAAATCTGCTGTAATCTTAGAAAGTGCCTTGTTTAGATTCTCTGTGATTGTAAATTATAACTTTTRGCATAAAAAAATAAAAGTCATTAAAGAGGACGAGAAAAGCAAAAGAGAAATACTACTTAAGAGATTTATTATTTTTTTTACTAATGCCATTATGAAAAATTCTCTTGGAAAAGGTTCAAGTTATATATTCCTTTTATTCTCTGTGCCT